AACGCCAAAATGTTTTAAGTAAACTAAATTTTTTCACATCCATATATTATTGAAACATGTACCTTTTAAAATTTTTTAGAGGAGAGGCTTTACTGCTGCTCATTTTAAACATATCATTTTAATTTTATATATCTGAAAAATAATCCCTTTGGGCTTACACATTTTACTTATTTGGGTTAATTAAAAATAAAATATAGTGAATGCACAGAAATTAAAGATTTGCACATGCCCGAAATGAAAAATATGAAATATGTATGGATATTTATGCATGTGCTTGCAAAAAGCATGTATCTGCCTTTAACAAAATACATAAATATTCATTAAATTATTTATAAATGTATTTGAAATGAAGAATTTATTCATTTATAAACAACTGTGAAGAAATCTAATTATTAAATGTATCTAATTTATAATGATTATAAATGTTATCTAAATATATAATAACCTTAATATTGAATTGTAAACATAAATTGAAATCCTGTTGACAAATACGTTATAAAACTATTTAAGCAAGAATTGTTTGTACTGGAAAGCAATCTGTTAAAAGGCATTGTAAAGCAAATGCTACAAGATGCGCACTTAAGAAAGTAATAAAGAGTTTGGGAATATGTATTGTTTAAATTAATGGTAAAAAAAAATTCTGACAAGTATAATTAACTCTTTCGCATCGAGAGAGGGCAAAATCTCAATTCCCCAAATATCGAAAACGCCCGTATCTAAGAATTTCTCCTGGAATGCTTTTCCTTCCCCCATGACAAGTTGAATACTACAGTGCTAACAATAGCCTTACTTAAGTAAAGCGAGAACTTCTTTCTTCGACGCTTTGACACTGCGTGAAGTTCCCCCTTGGAACGGGATTGCAACTTCGGGCATCAAAAGCTAAACACTGACAGTAACAGTAAAACAAGGGGAAAGGAAAAACAAAGAAGTAAAAAGGAAGCTACTTTTTAGTGTGATTGATTGACAACAATTTAACAACAATGAAAGCAATGAGTAATGCAGTAACGTGATGGGGGAAAGCACTGGGTAGGAAATTATTCGGGTGTCCAGCCGATGTCTGAATGCTCGGGCGCTTGGGGCGACTTCGATGCGAAAGAGTTAAAAGAATTATTCCCCTTACATTTTATAATAACTCAGTTACAAGTTTTAAATAATACTTTAAAAAAATCCTTATTTTATTCCCTTTCAGAAATGTTCACAGAAAGTTAAGTACTATTTAAAGTATTTCACACTAATTTCTAATAGTAATTCTCTAATTTAAAATGAACCAAATAGAGCATTAACTATAAATTGACTTAATATTTTTCGATTTAAAAGATGCCACAGAAGCCAAAAAATAATGTCATATTTAAGAACGTATATTAGGAAGAAGCTTTATAAATAGAAACGAAATAGTGCATAATTTTAATATTAATAATACAATAAACTTTGATCTTAGTTTTTGTACCTTAACCGAATAAAATCGAATTACCTTAAATTTTTTTTCTAATATAATTAACGAAAAGTTGCTAAAATATTTCATTCAAATTAAACCATTCTGAAAAAACTGTTCTGCGAAAAGTATAGCATTTAATTCCATTCAGAATGAAATGTTGTTTAAAAATATGTTGTTTTCATATACTTAGGACTCTGAAATGTTGTAGAAAAAGAAAATATATACATTTATATGTATATTTACAACGTAATTACAAAATATTTACATCCGATCGCGTCAAAACCCATTGAACTTAATGATAAATGACCCAATGTTTTGGTCACTACGTAGGGATCGCCAGTGCTTCAGAGCAGGGTACGGGAGAAACCTGTTTAGGGCTACTCCATCTTACTTCCTACCTCCATGTGTTAGCCAGTTGTAAAATGATTCACTAATGTTCAAGGCCACAAGAAAGTAACAAATTGCTAACCAGTTCTCTTACTGCCAAATTAGGATAATTTTCATTCTTAAATTTTTACTGACAAAAGTTTTTATATGAAATACATTTAATTGATAACTTAGCAAACAATACTGACAGCATTTATTGATAACGGTTGATCTTTACAATATGGTAACTGGTAGTTTGGCGACATTTTGGAGGCGATAAAGGTTACTACCTGGGACTTTGGTAATAATGTGAGCAGCACTCAGTTCCGATTACGCATTATTTTGTGTGAGGGAAATGAGAGATAATGGGATATGTCATGTGATATTAATGGACGAATTACGGTTCTTGAATCGGAAAAAGGGGGAAATCGGGAAAAAATCTGGAAATTTTGTATTTGGTTTATTCTGTGTTGTGTGAAACAGTGTTCGTGAATTTTTGGATACCATGGCTGTAACTAAAGAAAAGTTTATTGGACACGTAATCAAGATTCTGAAGAAGATTAGGTAATTTAGTATTTTTAATTACTTGAGGATATTATTTTTATGCATTGTTCTAAATGTAAGGTGGAAGTAAAGGAATTTGGTATTATTGGGAAAATTGTTATTAGCAATGATTTAGTTTAAAGTAATTAGGATTGTAAGGTAATTTTTATTAATTTAATGTATGTGCTCATTTATATTTTAAGTAGTGTTTTTGAATTTAATTATATTTTAATTAAATGATAGTTATTTTGTGAATTTTATGTTTGTAGGAATTTGGTATATGTTATCAGGTAATTTCATATATGTTCTTTTTACCGAGTTTAAAGATTGAGAAAATTGTCATGTATTTTCGTGAAATTTTTCTAATTTATGAGAAAAAAGCAGTGTACATGGATGTAGTGAAGAGTGTGCGCAATGCCATTTTTGTGCAATTCTGGGATGTTTTTTTAAGTAAAAATAAGTCGACGTGTACATGGTTTAGTTTTCATTTAATTAAATTAAATTTTAATTAAATGATAGTTATTTTGTGAATTTTATGTTTGTAGGAATTTGGTATACGTTTAAGTTGAAGTAAACAAGCATGGAAATAATTTAAATATTTGATATTAAGTATTTGTAATGCTTGCGGTATGAATTTGTTGGTGACGTGTATAATGTAATAGATGATTTGGAGGTAAAAGTTTTTGGATATTTTATTTATTTTATATGTGGAAATGCTCATATTTGGAAATGGTAAATACTTTTTTGCGATCAGGTAATTTCATATATGTTCTTTTTACCGGGTTTAAAGATGCAATGCCATTTTTGTGCAATTCTGGGATGTTTTTTTAAGTAAAAATAAGTCGACGTGTACATGGTTTAGTGATATTTTAATTAAATGATAGTTATTTTGTGAATTTTATGTTTGTAAGAATTTGGTATACGTTTAAGTTGAAGTAAACGTGCATGGAAATAATTTAAATATTTGATACTAAGTATTTGTAATGCATGCGGTATGAATTCGTTGGTGACGTGTATAATGTAATGGATGATTTAGAGGTAAAAGTTTTTGGATATTTAATTTATTTTATATGTGGAAATGTTCATATTTGGAAAGGGTAAATACTTTTTCGCGATCAGGTAATTTCATATATGTTCTTTTTACCGGGTTTAAAGATTCAGAAAATTGTCATGTATTTTCGTGAAATTTTTCTAATTTATGAGAAAAAAGCAGTGTACATGGATATAGTGAAGAGTGTGCGCAATGCCATTTTTGTGCAATTCTGGGATGTTTTTTAAGTAAAAATAAGTCGGCGTGTACATGGTTTATGTGTATGTGTTATTTTGAAAAACGCGTAAGGAGTATGGTATTGTGCACTTTTTCCCAATTTTGCAGTGAATATTTGTCATGATTAAGTAGTTTTGTTAGATAAAATTTCTAGCATAAGTGTAATTCGGCTAGTAGATTGTTGGAAGAAGTGTTCAGTAGATAAAAAGAAAAGAAACATGTCTTTACTTCGTGAAGAAAAAATGGCAGCGGGAAAAAAAAAATAGAGGGTTGCTGTAGGAGAGTTGGTCGCCAAATTTTCGCCAAAAGAACGCCAAGTTACCGTAATGTAAAGATCAACCTTGATAACATTTAATACTTCAGAAAAAAAATAAACTTACTACTAAAAAAATAACTACTTAATAACTTACTACTAAACAAACTAATTAGCTCTACTTTTAGATTTTTCCAAAGAGTTATGTTTATTTTTGGTAATAAAAATAACATAAAACTGAACTTCAAACCATTAAAACCTTAAACTTTTACTTCAAATTCTTTTTATAATAATATCAGTTAATTTACGGGAAATGTATCAGCAGGCAGCATAAAATTACTTCGAGGGCCACCAGTTTGACTTCGACACTGCTTTACTAGAAAACAAGGCTCTAGTGCAGAGCTGGGTGCCCATTCGACTGGCAACACATTTGTTCAATTTTGGCTAAGAAACTCCATTTTTGGTTACCATGATAGTTTTAACTTGGTTTTAGCTTCCTGATTTAAGTGAAAACAGATTGATGTGTATATCGACAAAGTCAAGGCAGTGCAAGTATGTGCAATTCTCTGATGATTTTATAGATCGATGTGTATATGGACACCAAGTTTGTGCAATTCTTTGATTTCTTATTTTGGTTTTGCATAGCAGCCAGTTTGAAATTCTGTCTTCCTGAACTGATGTTGGCTTCAAAAAAGAATCACCAAAAAAACCAGGGGCACCCAATTGTAAACTTTTACCGAAAATAATATAGGTGATTAAAATTAATTTGAGATATCCACACTGCTAGAATATTGCTTCGCAGTAGAATGGAACTACAGTTTTAAACTGAGGATTACATCGACAAGGAGTCACTCAAAGAAATGACCTAACCCTTCTCTTTAACCCTAGTATATAGTGAAACACAAATGAACATATATACTTCAGAATTATTAAGATGGTGAATCCTCTCCAAAATGGCCACATATAGTTTCAGACGATTTTTACTTGATATGGAGATGGTCAGCTTAGAGAGGTGATGTTCAAAGTTTATTTATATTCTTAGAAATACTGGCCATAGCAAGATTTAATATGTTTGATAAATAGAAAACTAAACATACCATCAAAAATATACTTAAAAAAATTCCATTGAAAACATATACTTTCAAACACATAAAGCTGCTTTAATTTAATTGTATGTCAAATATACTAATAAATTAAAAAATGACAAAAATACACACATATCACAATAAAAATACCAGCTGAACTCTTATTATTAAACAATTTACATATAAACTCTCACATTTGTTAAAATTTAAGTTTCTTGCATATTATGCTTAGCTTCAATATCTTTTAATAGAGCATCTGATAAACTTTCTGGGGTAATTTTTGCACCAAGAAAATCTTCTACTAACGAGCGTGGAGGCTTTGAACCACCATGGGCAAGCACTTCACTGCGATATTTTTTCCCTTTTTCCCCATTAAAAGGATTATCCTTGAAACACTGATACCAAATCCAAGAAGCTAAAGCACGAGACATAAGATAAGAATAATATTTTGCACCATATCCAACCAGATGTCCAAACCGTAACTGCCATGCTGTATTTGGAACATGTGGTAAACCATAAAAATTATTTTGGATCTGGGCCAACAATTCAGTTGTAGTCCGATTAATCAAACGCTCACCATGGCAGGCCTGATCAAATGCAGCATAAAATATTTGCAACTGAGTTTCACATGCAGAAAACAATTTTTTAGATATCCTTAGCTTATTTAGAAGATTTAATGGTATAGCTTCCCCAGTTTTATAATGTCTTGCAAATTTTGAAACAACTCGGGGATCTGAGGCGAAATATTCCATCAGAACGGATGGAACTTCCGCTAAATCTGTCGAACATCGAGTACCAGTAACATGCTGATAAGTTGTCCTTGCAAGCATTGAATGCATTGCATGGCCCATTTCATGAAACAAATTATCAACCATGCAGTGTGTTAAAAGAGAAGGTTGAGACCACGTTGGATTTGGCAAATTAAGCATCAATACTACAATTGGCTTTTGGTAGGTTTTATCATCACATGATCGGCCACCCTGTATAGTGAAATGACAATCTTGGTTTGGTTTTCCAGGACGTTCAAAGAAATCACAATATATATAGCCTAAAGTTTCATTTCCTTCGGAAACTTTCAGTTTCCTAACATCATCATGCCACAGTTCTCCTTCTACAGCATCTTCAACACTTAGAGTCACATTGTACAAAGCACTGAAGACATAGTTCAATCCATCCATACAAACACCCAAAGAAAAGTAAGGACTATAGTCAGACGATTTAATATTAAACTCTCGATGTTTTAATTGTGCCATCAAGAATGGTACGTCCCAAGGTTTTAAGCATTTTGATTGATCACCAAATTCTTGTTTTAATTTTAACATTTTACTGTAGTCTTCATCTGCTTTAGGCTTTATTTTTTCACTTAATATTCGTAAAAATTCATGAACAAATTCGGGTGTGCCGGCAATACTTCCTCGAACAGCACGGTGAGCATACGTTGGGAACCCACATAACTTAGCTAAATTTTGTCTTGCAGATAGCAATTCATCTAACAATTGTTCTTGCTGCCTATCAGGCTGAAGAAATATTTTATATGCTGCTTCTCGCAAAAGTTCATTTTTTGAATCAGCAAACAGGCCATTTATTACAATAGTTTCTCCTTCTCCTGCAAAAGAACGCTGAAAAGCTTCTGGCAGCTGCGACTTCAGCACAGTTCGAGGGCTTAATGTTTTACTCATAAAATGTGAACCTACGTGTAGTATGTAATCATTATATGCTACAACTTTTTCTCTTGCATTTTTATCAAGATGTATACCACATTGTTCAAAATCAAGTAGAAATAGATTTGCAACATACTGATCAATAGCATCAGTTGGGCATATATCTCCATTTTCTACAATATGCTTTAAACGGTCATATAAATCTCGATTTGTATTCAGCTCTTCTACTAAACTACTAATACTGATGGATGTCTCTTTAGCAGCATAAGCAAACTGCTCTTGTGGATGGCCTATTCTGACAAACTCTGCTAAATCAGCAACTTTGCATAAAGTATCAGATAGTTCATCAAATACTCGAACCATTTTTCGAGTCCGTTCAGGACTTAATATTTCATTGATTAAAACTTCGGCTCTGCAAACTGCATTATCTTTAAGTAAATAAAACCCAGTAGGCTCTTGTAACTCTTGATAGCCAAACAGACCTGTTGATTCACCCAAAAACTGTGATTTCAGTGTTCTGATTTTAGATTGCTTAGCATTGAAAGCTGAAGCCACAGATGACCATGTCGTAAGTTTTCGATAATAGTTCACTCTTTCAAAATTTGCAGCATTCCTCAAGCAATTAAAATTTAATTTCATTCGCATATTGTTATGTGACGGAAATCAGCAAAAATTTAAATCAATGATCCTTTTATTACTTTAAAAAATGTTTTATTTTCAAATACTTTAAAAAAATTATCAGACAGTTCCCAATGGGGAGGGGTGAAAAAAGTGCATGCGTAAATTATATTCTCACAATTTGAAACCAAACATACATTTCTAAAAGAAAACATACACTATACATAGGAATAATCCTATGCTCAAATTGTTGTTATCGATTGCCGTGTTTCTTCACAAATGAATTTGCCCATACAAAAACATGGAATAGAATAAAATTTGACATGTTAATTTTTAATACACTAAAATTTTTTAAGGGTCTTTTTCGTGAAAAGTGCCTTAAAATATTCATGATTCCGTAACGATCGATCTATGGAGATTTTTTATTTTATTCTAAAAATTGCTCACATTACCAATAAATAGAGCTTAATTAAACGGCAGTTTAAATTACGCTGCTACGACGATAAAATTCGAACCTTAGAAATATAATATTTTGTTTTCAAAAATGAATGAATGCGGATGAAAGGTTAATGTTTACAAGATTATTCCTCTGAAATATGAAAGGGTTATCGACAGGTTATCAGTAATGTATTCTGTTTGACCCAACTAAAGAAATAATAATTTTGTGTTTACTGTTTTTGTTTTTTGTAATTGTAATTTATTTCCTGTAGAAATCTTTCACACTGATTTTATATTTGACGCTATGTCATGATAAACAGTGACAACAATATATGTATTGTCCGGTTACAATTTACAAGTAGTTCACGGCATTATTATTATTGAAAACTGGTTTTATATTTTATTTCTGCGTTTTGTAAACGGTTAGAGGAAACGCTTGTAGGTCACGCCGGTCGTTTTGCATGGTTGAAGTACGACGTGCAACGTTTTTCTATCCGAAATACTTATTATTTGGTATTTCTGCAGTTATTTTAAAGCTTGGTATCTATTTTCTGCAAGTACAAAATATGACAGAAAGCCCAGATACCGTTACAATAAAAAACGGTAATAGTTCTGCAACTGTTCATTTATTTGGTACGTATACATCTATTCTTTAGTAGATGAAAGCTTAGAAACTGCAGTGGATTGAAGAGTTGCTTCAAGATTTTGCGTAACATGAAAAATCTTGAAGCTTCAATCCATTGCAGGTTTGGAAAGTTTCTTCCACGATAGGAAAAAATAGGCATCTTCCACTTTTAAAGGGAAAAAATTAATTTCGGTGTTTATTTCAGTTTGTTTTCTACTAAATATTTTCAGTATGTGTATAATTTAATTTTTAGTAATTCAATTTCCTGCTGATTCTTCCCAATTAAATCTTCCCAATGTATTCTTTGAATGTCGAACTAATGTAAGCATTAGCTATGAAAGAATATCTTTGTTAGATCTAATGGTTAAAAACTTAAAATTTCTTCTCAATATTGTTTTAAAACACTGGCCATTCATGAAGAGCAATATTTACATTTTCTATCTATAAGTTGTGAATATAGTTGTGAAAATAGGCTTTATTAACATGACTAAATACTTCCTTTCTTTGCACAAATACAAATTTTTTATTGTGTCAATTTGTCGGCTGTAGTGTAGAATTGGGTGCCCCTTCGATTAGCAACAATTTTTTTTTGTTTAGTTTGGTGATGAAACCTCACTTCTGGTTACCATGATAGTTTTAACTTTGTTTTAGCTTCCTGATTTTATTTAAATGAAAATAAATTGATGTGTACATGGGCAAATTTAAGGCAGTGCGCAATGCCTAGTTTGTGCAATTCTAGGATGTTTTTTTTTTTTTTTAAAGTGATGTGTATATGGACACAGAGTTTGTGCAATTCTTTGACTTCTTATTTTGGTTTTGTGTGGCGGCCATCTTGAAATTGTGCCTTCCTGGCACTGATCTTGGCGTCAAAAAAGAATCGCCAAAAAACAAGGGGCACCCAATTATAACCTTTTGCCAATTTGTCATCGGTATGGTCATTTCCAAAAGTGTTTTAGGCAGTTCCAATATGTGTCTCCTCACAACTGCTGCATTACTGATTTAGGATAGTCCCTTAACTACGCTTTTTGCACTTTTATGACAACACATGCATGTCATCTTTTGAAAAATATGTATGTATATATATAAAATAACTCTAATTATACATATAAAATAACTGTGCAGAAATAATAAACATTAAACAAGTTAAAATCTGTGAGGTTTTTTTTTTTTTTTTTTTTTTTTTTTTTTTATTTATTTATTTATTTATTGACTAAGAATTTAAAATTTTCCTGCTATATCAATTAACATGTGTAAAACTGTAGTTTTAGGGAAGGATGTGAAATTAGGTATAATTCACGTTTGCACTTTGTATGTAGTTTATTCTTTTTTATTTTACTTTTCCAGACTGTATAAACCTGACTGTAATGTATAAACCTCTTTGTAATTCCCATTGGTGATGACTAGTTCTTCCATTATTTCTGATGTCTTTTTTTGGGGGGGGTTCCTTTCTGATTTTTTCTACTATACTGGAAGAAACACAGCTCTGATCTGTCAATCAATAGTTTGGTAATTTTACAAGGCTTTATACATTTACTGTGTATAAAGCCCAAAGAGAGAAGAGAAAGAAAGAGATCTGTGAATCTCTTTCTTTCTCTCCCCCCCCCAAAGTATTTTAATTTGTAATAACTGAAATCTTTCTGAACTCCCTAAAACCTTTCTTCTAACGCTTACTTGGAGACATATGTTTAATATACGAGGGTAAGTTGAAAAATAAGTTTTCCCTGTCGACTGTGGTCAGAGTTGTGTATGAAAGTCAAAAAATAGAATGAGACATTAAAGATATGACATACCTTTATTTATTATTCTCGTATGAGTACGTTGAGACATTTGTCATATCGCTTGATAAGCTTCAAAAAGTCCTCCAAGAAAAATTCACACTTTTGTGTATGGAAGAAGCGTTGAACAGCTATGGGCGAAAGGCGACACAGCAGGAAAACGCGCAAGTCACCAATACACCATTGGGTAGAGGTCGCTGCAAATCAAGCAGATGGCGCTGTTGCAGTGCCTGCGCAAAGCGGAGACCAGCCTCTCATTTGAGCCCCGGTAGGTACGGAGAGAAAGTGCGTTTTGAATTCGTGGTCAAAGGAGGAAGTGAGAGCGGTTATCCGCTATGAATGGGCACGTGGAGTATCAGGAACAGAAATTCATAACCGCCTCGTGGAAGTCTATGGGCTAGGTGTGATGTCGAAGCAAATGGTGCAGAGATGATATCGCACATTCAGTGATGGACGTCAGCAAGTGGAGGACATACCGAGAGCTGGATGGATGCTCACTGCCACTACAGATGCAAATGTCAGGAAGGTGGATGACATGATTAGAGCGAACCTGCGTATCACCATCGATGAAGTAGCGGAAGAACTTGAAATCTCGCATAAGCGAGCTCAAAACATCATCCACGACATTCTTTGATACAGAAAAGTGTCAGCACGATGGGTGCCCCGACAATTGACCTCGACACACAAGGAACAACGCATGGGGGTCAGCCTAGAACATCTTGTGCATTACCATGAAGATGGCAATGACTTTCTGTTTCGGATTGTGACGGGGGATGAACGTAGGTCCACCATTTCACGCCAGAATCGAAGGCTGCATCTATGGAGTGGAAACATCCGTCATCACCTGTCCGAAAGAAGTTCAAGACAACTCCCTCTGCAGGTCAAGTGCTCCTCACAGTTTTCTGGGACGCCCAAGGAGTTTTGTTGCTGGACTTTTTGGAGGTTGGAACCATCAATGCTACGCGCTACTGTGACACCCTGTCGAAATTGAAAGAGGCGATTCGGAAAAAGCGGCCTGCCCTTCTCACATCTGGCGTTCTGCTGTTGGATGACAATGCCAGACCACATTCGGCGATGGCAACGCAAAACCATGTTGCAACTCTTGGTTGGGAGTGCCTACACCATCTGCCATAGGGTCCTGATCTTGTGCCAAGCGACTTCCATCTGTTTCCGGCTTTGAAATCTCAGGAGAAAGCGCTTTGGAAGCAATACTGAAGTGAAACAAGCCGTTCAACGCTTCTTCCATATGCAAAGCCCTGATTTTTTTCCTGGAGGGCTTTTTGAAGCTTATCAAGCGATATGACAAATGTCTCAATGTACTTGGTACCTATGTGGAAAAATAAAGGAATGTCATATCTTAAATGTCTCATTCTATTTTTTGACTTTCATACACAACTCTGACCACAGTCGACAGGGGAAACTTATTTTTCAACTTACCCTCGTATATACCCGGAAACATGTTATTGAGCAACTTCATTTTGAAATTGGTAAAAATATTTTTTTTTCCCTTACAGTTGAGCTGAATAAGTGTGTAAAGTGCAGAATCGCCCACTTATTTGTTTGGGTCAAGGTAGTGCACAATGTCATTTTTGTGCAATTCTGGGATTTTTTTTTAAAGTGAAAATAGGTCGATATGTACATGGATACCAAGTATGGGAAATTCTTAAAAATGTGCCAAGCAGTGGGTGATTCTGCACTTTCCCCGATTAAGTTATAAGGTATTCCTGCCTTTTTAGCATGCCTTCGTTTTTTAAGTCTCCTGCTTTCAAAAAATACCTAATGTGTCTACAAAGTATAAATATAAAATTAAGAACAATAAATTAAATAAATAAAATTCAGAAAATACAAAAATCAAAATATCTTGTATAAAAAATTATTCATTTTAAAGTTCATGACTTGGAAGCTTAAATAAAAACATAAATCAGAAAAATATAAGCAAGTTATATATTTTCCCATATGTTGTTTTGCATTAGAATTATTTACACAAAAAATGGTACTTTTCCATTTTGCCTGCGCAGGGAATAAAGTTGCCAATAATGGTACAGCTCAGCCAAATAGAATATCCTCACTGGTAACCTTTTACACCTTATTTTCAAAACAAGTAGCAGCCATTTCTTATCAGATTGATTGTTCTTTCAATACTGGTATACAATTACATAGAATTTTTACCAGATACAGTCAAAAGTCGTTAATTCGGACACCCATAATCTGGAATGATCTATAATCCGAACCTCAAAGCTACAAACTTTCTGCGCATGCGTCGTATTACGGCTGCGTGTGTGCGCATGCGCATAATACGTTTACGCATGCGCGTTTAATGTATAACAGACGGTATAAGCTAAAATTATCTAATTATCTATTTCAGTTAATGTTGCAGATTGTGTTGTTACTTAATCTTCGAATTGGATCCGGCTTATTATTTTTTACTGACTTTTAGAGCAATTTTATAAAAGTAAGCTTGAACTTTCGATTATGTCAAATGGAATTTCCGATGCTGGAGCTCCCAAAGGATCTACAAAGCGAAAGTATGTTTCGATGTCCATCAAACAAAAAGTGGAATTGCTGCAAAAAAATGGATAAATCATATCTTTTGTTTCTTTAACCACTCAGAAATCTGTTTATCAATTTCACGCTGCTCTGCCACGCAATGAATTGGAAGTTGATCTGTCAGCACTGTCCTTATCTTCAGGGCAGATGTTTTTATTTTATTTGGCTTATAATTCTTTACTAAATGTAGTATTTCATCTCGATATACTCCGTCTTTGGTATGATTTAAATCAAATTTCTCGTCCGATAGTGAAGAAAGTGACACAGTTATTGAAAATGAAAAAATTTCATTTGACAAATTAGTCGGTATTCTCGACACAGCAATTATAGGACTTGAACAGTGGAACTTTGTAACTAAACAAGAAATTATGTCTGTTTATAGAATTAAAGAGAAAGTATTATCACATAATACGAAGCAACTTAAACAACTTACATTGAAAGAAATGTTTAATAAAGTAAACAAATAAATATTAAGCTTTTTTTTGTTAAATTTTGATACCCTTTAGATCATAATTGTTCTTTATTTCATAAATTACGGTTTCATATTTTTAATTTTATAATTTCAGCATGCCATCTTGCCAGATTTAAACTGATGATCTATAATACGGAAAAATCGATAATCCGGAATCGTCGAAGTCCCGACGAGTCCGGATTAACGACTTTTGACTGTAGTTCAACTTTATGCC